ATGTGGCGCGTCAAAATGAAATCACACCAACTGTTAGTGAAGACTGCCCCCTGCTGGTTCATCTCCTCTTGTGTGACCTCTTCCTCCATCCAAGGCCCTCCAGCTATCATGAGGCTGCTGAACAGATCATCTCCATCTGATAAAGACACTGCCACAACCGCTGAGCCAGGTCATCAAAATATGTGAGGACACTTGCATGTAATTTCCACACTTGAGCTGCATCCATGGAGCTCCATAATAATAGACTATGGATATGTAATGTGTATATATGCTGTAATGTGCCCATGCTTCATGAGCATGTGCTATATGAACAGAGCAGAGCTAAATATATTATAAGTGTTAGTCTTTGTTTTTATTATTATCCGTTTAATCCTGCTCCATTCATTACCCAATAATACTAATCTGTAGCACTAACAATAATGATTTGCAATCGACCACAAAGTGTGTTTTGTTTTTACTTTCTTTATATATAAATAAACATTAGGTATACAGTAGGTATACATCAGTGGCGGGCCGTGCATTTTATACCTCGGCCTTCACTGCTGTGCTGTCACAGTTGAACCACCTCCTAATAACCTTATGATGGCGCCACAGCTACGGTTATTATTATTTTTTTAAATTTTATTTTATTTTAATTTTATTATACTATATTGATCCCTTTAAGGGGGAAATTTGTCTCTGCATTTGACCCATCCCTGTATATAGGGAGCAGTGGGCTGCCAATGACAGGCGCCCGGGGAGCCTGGGGTTCAGTGTATTGCTCAGGTACACTTCGACACGTGACACGTCCCAGTTGAGGATCGAACCGTTGACAATCCGGTTCCCAGACAACCCTCTTAACCCAGTGAGCCCAATCGTTTCTTGGGGTGTAACAATACACGTATTCGTATTAAACCGTTCGGTACGAGGCTTACGAACCGAACAATACGTTTGAATAATACTAGTGCGTTTGGAAAACGCAGAAGCTTAAATTGTGGGAAATATAATGTTCTTTCGGTGGAGCCACTGCGCTCAACCTGGCAACATGCTGTCTGACACGCCCACCACAGAAGAAAAACATTGTACTCTGGTGAGCCACGTGTGTTCTGGGAGGCTATGCTAAACTAGCTTAGCAGGAAAACAACAGCAGCACACACGCTACAAACTCTCCCCGCAGCGTTTAGCTGTTCTCTACCGATTCAAACAGGGCTAAAGCAATCGCCACACAATCCACATTTCTCCAGACCATCATTCTTGCTTTGTTAAAGAAAACAGATACATGAATACGCGCATGACGGGATGCTTCGTCATTAACGGACAATGCATATAGTCAAAATCAATGTAATTAACACAATGACATGTACATGTTTATATCCCATTGCCATAAGTTCGTAAAAAAAAACAAAAAACATGTTGAAATTTTAAAATAAAAAGATTTCTGAAAAGAACCCAAACATTTGGAGCCTTTTTTAGCACTGAGTTTTTCAAACTGTTAGGCGTGAGGTGAAAGGGACAGGTGCATGCCAACAGAAAGTTACACGAGGTCACAGCTTGATGTGCGATTCTTTAACCGTTAGTGCCCGATTGCCACAATTTAGGCCAAAACGTGTACTCCTTCTCTGAATCATACCTCAGACATGACACCATCAGTCTGCTTAGAAGGAAAGAAAAAAAACTCCTCATTTAAACTAGGGTTGGTAATGTCAAGAAACTAGCACGAGTACGCTAGATTTTAAAAAGTGGCTGGATGTAAAAAGATTTCTTCTTTGAAGAAGATTACCAGCCCTAGCTTTACGTTGCCTGACAATCGTCAGTTATTTAAGTTTTCTACAGTATCACAGTAATCAAGTGATGGTTGTCTGTACATCATAGGTACATTGTACAGGAACCGATGAAATGTGAAAAAAGAAGAAGAAAAGAAATGTAAATAAACAAGTTCAAGATGTAGCCCACAGCTAACTGACTCAATGGCAACCCTTTACTCCATGCAAGCAGAAAACCCCCCCGTGTTTGTATAGCACCCTTGCAGTCCTGTATAACGTCATGTCAGTGGCATGTTATGCAAGACAGAAGTCACCTTTGACCCCTGGAAAGAATGACCTCACCAAAGCCACGCGGCTCTTTGAGGGCATCTGTGCAAAACACGCTAGGTCACTGACTCAGTTAAGATCCCACAACTCAAACATACCAACAACATAATGTTGAATGCTTTTTTTGTTTTCACATCAATTGTTTGTAAAATCTGCTGTCTGTCTGCAAACACAAATTGGATGATTGTACAAAATAGTGATCTCAGCCACTTCAATAGAAATGTGCAGCCACTGTGAGAAAGTCAAAGGCTGTTTAAGTGCAACAACTATTTATGGAACAGCTGCTGTAGTTCATGACAGTTAACACTTGTTCTGATTCTAGTCTCGGTATTTCATGGTGAAAAACCAGCAGTGACCAGTGGAAACGGAAAGTTCAGCCTCTAGTCCGAATACATGACCTTTAACCTTTACTGAAGCAAGTAGTTACAGCTGTTTGCCTCTGTGGGACACACATGATGAAATACAGGGTCATGCATGCACGGGACAAACAGAAAGGATCATCTAAAGCCTCACAGACCTTCATTCAACCAGCATGAGTCTAATGTTGGACAGCAGTAAAAAGTGCTCAGAGCCTATTCTCAACGTACGGTACGTGTGTCCTCGCTTCAAAGCCTGGTTGTCTTGACATTTTTATGTATCATATGAACCTGTAAAACTGTTTCACCCGCACGCATCAACTTGCTCAGTATTAAAGGTCTGAAAGGGTTTGAAAGAGCACCACAGCTGTGTAGTAAAGACTGATTTAGGATCCAAATGCAGGACTTAATCTCAGGTTCTTCTAATTAGCTCATTGGTTGCCTCAAAGATGTCCCGTGTTCTCTGACTTTACTAGTCGAAACCTGTCAGTGTCAATAAAAGCTTGAACAAAACATTTAATTCACAGCATTTAAAGTGCTGAGGAATGAAAGCACAGTACTATTAACACACATTCACCCAGCCATCCATGCACGCACGCACGCGCCATTTTGACCTTTCATTGAACCACACACCTATCTGTATTTAGAAATCAATAAGAGCCTTTCTCCTAGTAAAAAACGTATTCTCACTATATTTCAAGATATCTGCAACTTTGATTGTACTTCAGATATCTTTAAGTCCTTACAAAGTACAAGTGTCTGTTTTGATAATTAAAAGCTGGACTCTTGATATTTCAGATGACTGTAATTTAATTCTCCTGGTCAAAAACAACATTTCAGATATCCACAACGTCGTTCTCCCTAAGAGCAGTAACGCCACTTTTATCATGGATGTGTACATGGACGTGTATTGGCCTTTCAATTTCAGATATACACAATTACATCTCTGGATGGATGCATGAATTCTTGCTAAGGACTAAAAACTATTTCAGATATCTACAATCTCATTGTTACTATTCATAACGTCAGCTGTGATGTGAGCCATTTTGGTATTTCAATATGTTTTTGCATATTCTGAACAAATGCCCACAACACATTTATGAAGATCTGCAATTATATTATTACTAGTTGTGCAAATCTGAAATTGCATAACGGAAATCAATAGAGACATTTGGGAGAACTGGAGAGAGGATACCCTCCCTGCATGACCATAAGGTAACGATGGCCAGTACGGGGATCGAACCCACAACCTTAGCATTATTAGCACCACGTTCTAACCGGCCACATTAACCCAGAGAAGGCAGCATGTTTGGAGTAATAGGATTACAACATATGTTCTTGTAATTACTACTGTGAAAACGCATTGAGGTTATCCATCTCAACACATGTAACATTGAGCTTCACACCGTGTCGCCGGTCCAACACATGCGTGTGGCTGCATGAGCGTCGGTGTGCAGATTTAGTACCGTCGTGACGGACTCAGGAGAATGACGAGGGTCAGATAGCGTCTCTTGCTCAGACTTGTGCTGACTGACTCTGGCACGCTGAGCTGTCATGAGGCCAACGCTGCTTCATCACATGCCTGGACGTGGACGAGTCGACACGCGTTTCCACAGCAAATACACAAACCTTTCTATACAGTATATAGGCGAGGTCAGTCTGAACCAGTAAGAAGCCTCCACATCATCACTGAAATTGCCAATAGGCCACGTTCAATGATCATTCAAAAACAGCAACAGGAAGTTAAAGCCCCGGCTGTTACTAAAATAGACTTAAACAATTCCAGCGAGGAAGAAACCAAGAGGCAATTTTAAAAACAAAGCAAACCCTGTCATGAAACCAGCAAGTTCCTCGCCACCACAAACATGGGAGGAATGGCTCTGATGTACACAATTTCACACTAAATCACGTCAAATGTCTGCCACTTCAAGCTAGTGTAGGTCCATTAAGAATAAAGTAAAAAAGTACTAAAAAACATAAAAAAAACACCAGCAGATATTCATTTCGTAGCATTGATGAACAGACGGCAGCCAGATGTGCTTTAACAAAGTAAAGCGTCCATCACTGCATGGTAATGTAAGCTTTAGTAGACGAAGGGAGCATTCATTTTAATGGTACTATTTAACAATAACTTGTAATAATTAGCCTACTCTGAAGAAGTGATGATTTGAAATCTCCGCATTGACAGTAAAGCTGCTTTGCATGTCACAGTGATGCAACCTGGTGGGTTCAGCCAGGCAACAGATTTGACAGTTGGAGGACTGAGAGGTTTGTGTAATTCATACCACTTGAGGAACACATATGGACAAACCAAAACAGCTTTGATCAGATTATTTGCATGTCGAGTTAACTGCTGGTCTAATGTGGTGACGACCACAGCATTAATGTTCTTCCTTATGTACGTGAATAGTTGATGCCAGGCCACGGAAAACGGCAAACTTATTTTCACGTGACGGCGGTAAGCACCAAACGGCAGATGTGATTAAATGTTCCACATCCTTGATTGAGCCCAGTCTGCTCTCCGTAAAGACCAACCTGATACAGAACGAATAGATACAAAATGAAAAACACTAAATTAGAAACAGCAAAATATTTATTCACCAGTCAAAACATAAACTTCAAAATATGAGGTCTGAAGACTTTCTGACAAAATTTGTTTGCAACCTCCAAGTGCTAAAACAGACGAGCTGGTGTATTTCTATTGCAAAGTTCTGGGATATAATACAACATTGTGTTCTGATATTTTCAACGTATGAATTAACAGGGGGAGCGAGACGAGTCATAAATAAACAGGTCTTGGAGAAGAGCGTGCAGCAGTCGTGCGAGATGATGGGTGTGTTTTTTTGTACGTCTCTATCAGGGAGTGGGACTGGAGGTCTATCCAAACCTGTACTCTCCCCCCCGTACCAGGCCAGCGGAAAATAAAAAAAAAATAAAAAAAAAAGAATGGCGAGTTATCAGTTCTCAAGAAAAGCCACGTAGTCGGTGAGTCTGGCCAACTGCTGCTCGTTTGGAACCAGTGAGACGGGGGGAGGATCTGTTGAGAGAGGGGAGGAGAGGTTGAGTCAGAGGGGATTGCTCGTTGAGCCAAGTGCTATCCATCTTCTTACATCTACAACGCGTTCTAACTCAGACGTCAGGTCACAGGTCTCCAGTTAACCGCACTGCCACCGCTGTTTAACAACACCACCTACGTGAGCCCGAGAGGCTTCCAGCCTGCAGATCATTACAAGACTTTACATCTATCTCGACCAGAAAGACTTCCTGAGTGTGAGATCCACTCTACAAACTAGAATTACCAGGCGCTATTTAGCCCCAATGGCGCTGTGGAGGGTGCGTGGGGGGGCAGACATGTGAGGATTAATGGTGAGTGAGGTAAGCGCGTTGAGCCGTACATGTGCGCGGCAGATGCTTCGGCGGCTCGACCGTTTGCGTAAATCAGCAGGTTTATCTTGCGAGATAGATCCATGACTATCTGAGCTCGAGGACAGGCGATGATGTGGTGGAAAAAATATATCACTTGACAAAATAAGTAGAGCGGAGGAGGAGAAGAGAAAGGGACTGGATGGGGGAACCCTTCAGACATTAGAAAGAGGAGACTCAGCAAATCAAACATTTCAAAGAGATTCTCGGAAAAGGGGAAAAACGTCACCCTCGTTCATTGAGATTAAAATGTCTCTTAAATTCCTGCTCTCAACAGTTTTATGAGTGTCTGATAAAATATAGGAGAAGAGAAGCAAAACGTGTGGGTAACATAACAGTGTGCAGATGACGAGGTACAGATTAAAAGAGCAATGCTGCCACCTACCTGGCTTTTTGGGCATCACCATCCTGGTAGCGGGGTCTGCCTGCCAGCCCTGGGTCACCACACCTAAAGACGAGGATGGGAAAGAAGAAACGATCAGTGAATGTCTGCTTTTATTACTGCAACGTCTCTTGAATTATGTTTACACAATAGCATTTCCTGTGAGGAGGTTGTGTAAACTGCATCCTACCCTTCACTGCCTCTTCCACAGAGTATCCCACGAAGGCGGTGAAATCTTCTGCTGCGATGGAGGTGTACGCCTGGGCCACTAGACTGTACGCCCGTTGCCGCGTGCTCTCTGTGAAGGAATGCGTGAACCACGGAGACGTTAATATCAGACGGGTACATACGGACTGCATACATGCCAAAACTGCTCTGGCTGTGTTTTACAGTGCAACAACAACTTAGCTGTGAACTTGCGCACACAAGTTTAACATGGTATTCAAAAGAGCCATGTTTCTCGTGAAGCAACAACACAAGGGGGTTAAACACCATGAATTACAATCAAGAGTGACACAAAGGGGGTTTGAAGCCGGGGGCAGTACTCTGTTAGGACCATTAGCAGTCAGAGGCAAGGATGTTTTGTGCAGATCTCAAGTGAATGTTACAGAGCTGCAGTTTTTACTACTTTCCCCGTTCTTGCAAATGTTCCCCATCTTAAGGTTTGCTTCTGGTAATCCTGTGTGTCTGAGTTGATGTCGTGGCTTCCTCTCACCACTCCCGCCTCCTGCTCACCCCAAACAAGCACACGGTCACGACTTAACATCTGACAGGAGTCGTTTCAGGATTGAAATAAAATGATGCTACACAGAGCAAAAACTCTGGGTTTTCTGCCTTTTAAATGGCTTCTATCATCTGGGTTTGTTTTGAGTCAAATGGTGCATTCGTAGTTCTGTAACCTTGGACTAGATAATGATGAATTTAGGAGCTAAAACAAATAGGGAAAGTGGATTTTTCTATGGTCAAGTATACTTAAAAATTAGATCTGTTTAATGAGGCAGGCTTAAGATGAATGGAGAACGTTACAGTATGCTGTGCAGTGCTCAACACTACGAAGCCCTGAAGCCTTTATCAACAGGCTCTGGCTTGAGCAGACACATTTATCTAGCCCGACTTGACATGAAGCCATAGTTTGTGGAGATAACTTTTCAGAGTGGCAGGGCCTCACAGAACATACAGCAGCATGTATTCTCTGCTCCTGCAGCTATCACGTAAATGCCTCAGGGTTGTGGCCTTTCGTGTTTTATAGCCTAGCAACGGTGTGTGCGTGTGTGTGTGTGTACCAACAGTCTGTTGCAGCAGCTAGCAGCAGTAACGATAACAAGCGGGATGAGAAAAGACAGCTGGGGGTCGAAGGCCAGAGATTTTGTGAGGAGCACTTTCCCCATTCTGCTGTCCAAGGGGCTTCCTGTACTCCCTGTTATTGTGCTTATCCAAAAAAAAAAAAAGGGCAGTGCTTGTATATCAATTGTGTTTGACGGTACTTTAGTTTGATTTTGTCACGTTTTTAATCATAGATATGGTTGTAGAGTAATATGTGCAGTCTTTATTTAGAGACTTTGGTGACTATTTTAATGATGGGGCTCCAGAGAAATGTGGATAAAATGCTATTATTTTGTCATTGCGGTGTCTCGTCATGATGATTGACTACAAAGGGAACTGACCCAACTGACCCAGCTGCCCCCCCCCACTCAGAATAACACTCCCATCTGTTAAAAGTGAACCACATGTCAAACATCATAAAACTGCTCCCGGTGTTGGAACAACTTTCTTTCACTCGACTGGCTTTGTGTTAGAAGAGGAATGGAGGACAAGCGGGTCACCTCCGGGGGTTTTTTGTAACCCGGTCGCCCGGGCACACGTGTATTTTTACTGCGGCCTCTTGACCGTTGGCCGATGACTCACGTGGCAACTGGACCGGCCTTTGCTGCTGAGCAAGACGTCCATGAGTGGGAGGATGGGAGCTTTATGGAGCAGAAACAGGACCTGTCCTGTCCGTCCCAGAGTCTATTCCAGGGCCGCTATCGTTTCTCACCTCTTAAAAATAGCCCCCCACTTTTCACCAGCAAAGGCAAAGCAGACAGGACGTGGCAAGGGCTTTTATTTTTAAATGCAGCCTATTGCCAAGTAAGAGCAGCAGCAGTCTGGGAAACATTTTGGATGGAAGCACTCCAACGAAACTCTATAGGACCAAAATAATACTGAGTCTTCCTTTGTATGTTCCCTTAACTTGAGCTTCATGTTTTAGTTGGCCAATAAAGCAAATGGGAGCTTAACTTCATGCAGATTTATTTCACATTCCATTAGAGACAGGTTTGGTGATTACAGGCGGAACAGCTGATCACCAATTCAACAAAACTTGGACAAAGTGAGAGAAACACAAACAGCTATTTGCTTGAGCTACATATGAGGGAAATAATCAATCTTCAGATGTTCTATTACATTTATCAAAGTCATTTTCTCCATTGAACTGGCTTAGAAGTACAAAAGTATAAAAACAAGTTAAGAAAAGGTATGAATATGACATTGAAATTAAATATTGCACTGAAAGTATGGGCAAGCCATTATAGCCAACATCGACTGTAACCTTGTATTTCTTTCAACATCAAACGCAGTCCCTGCCATCAACACAGAAAAACCTTCGAAAGCACATATTACATTATAGTCCATAACCACTTCCATATTCATTATTCCTCTTCCTCCTCCTCTTCCGCGTCCTCAAACTCATCATCATCACAAGCTCCGAAGTCCATTTTTGCCAGGACTGCCTCGACGTGCTCTGTCGACAAAGTGAAGTGGTCCATTTTCTCGAAGCCTGGCTCCGGCCTCTCTTCCCCCAGCGAGCCTTTCGCTGCGTCCTTGGTCTGCGTGATGAGGCCCTTGGAGGCCAGCAGAAACTGAGCGGCGCCGCCCTGCTCCAGGGCCCTCACGGCCGTGTCTGTGAGCTCCGAACTGGTCTGCAGCCGCTCGCCGTAACGCTGGGCCAGTGCCCGCAGAGCCGCCACCTTCTCGTCTTGCTCTTTGCCGATCTGATCCAGGAGAACGGTCTTTCGCTCTTCCAGGACGGCGTACAGCAGGTCGAAGCGCTCGGCCAGCCCCTGCTTGGCGCGCTGACCGTTGTCCTGGACGGCGCGGCAGGCATCTTCCATCTGGTTGAGCAGGGCCTGCAGGCGGCCGTTGCCGGCCACCAGGGTGTCGATGGCGTTGCTCAGTTCCCCCTTCTGGGCCTGGTAAACATTTGCTAACGGTGACACCTCACAGTCCTTGTGCTGGCCGAACACTTTGCACATGGAGCAGGTGGGTACCTGACACGTCATGCAGTAGATGTTGATTTTCTCCTCCTCGTGCTCTTGGCACATCGGCTCTTTGGATTCCTTAGGCTTCAGGGTGGTTTCTGTGCCTCCGCCGCCGCCGCTGCCTTCTTGCTGCTGCTTGTAGAGGTCGATAATGTTTTCTACCAGCAGGTTTCGCTGGAGCCCGTGCACGCCATGGCGGTCAAGCACGACCTCAAAGCGGCAGGTAGGACAGCGAAAGACACCACCGGAGAAGCGGTACGGGTTGCGGGAGTCGTACAGGTCGCTGGCACAGCTGCGGCACAGGTTGTGCTGGCAGGGCAGGATGACCACGGGTTTGGTGAACATGTCCAGGCAGATGGGGCAGCTCAGCTGCTTCTCCAGGCTATCCATGGGGCTCGGGGGCCGAACCATAGACCCTGTCCTCTGAACGTCCATAATGGGAGAAGTCTCCAACTACACTTACACCGGCAAGTTTTGTTATTTTAACAGGAGAAAACAACCAAACCGTTTGTTTCAAAAAGTTACCAAAATAAATGTCAGACTGCGCACTTGTCCTTAGTGTGTGCTGTAACGTGTGAAATGCTGATATCTATTCTGACTGAGAGCTGGCAGCGCCGGCCTTTATACCGGCGCTGTCACACAGCTGGTGACACCCGATCCCTTCCCACCAACCGGGGCGCACATTCCTGCCTGCTTGCTGTCTCGGGATCTTTTCACAGAAATGGCCCCCTCCAAATCAGTGCTGCATGTGTCACTCGTCCTGGTAAGCAGTGTCTCCCTTCTAACAGCGACAAGAGTGGTGGACTGAGCGGAGGCCACCGGGTTCCACGTGACCGGCTCAGAGGAGCCCTGGCCGGGAGAGGGAGCTCGGTCTAATAGGTAAACAAGTCGATGTCAACAGCCTCTGACTCCCGTGTTGTTTTGACCATTTCAACTCCTTTGAGTTGTTGGACATTACATAGCATGCTGTCTATATAAAAGGGGTTTGTCTGCAACTGGAAATGGAGTATATCTATCAGTTTTGCATGTACATTTGACATAATTGTCTACATTTAAATTAACCAATGATGTCAATAAAAAGAAAGTTGACGGCTTAGATGATTAATTATGTCTTAATTAAATCACAGATTTGCTGGTTAATATTAATATTTACTTGTTTTTCTTTGTTTTGTTTAATGTATGTTGAGGTTTTCTAGTGTGTAAGACATCCCTTCAGCTCGAGTTATTAGAGAGATTTGGTGATATTTTAAAGCCTAACATTTATGACCAATAACCTCTTGGGACCAGTTGCTTGTGATACAGTGGCTGTTTAGATATACTGCTAAATGTTACTTTCACACAAACATAGTCAACAGAAAGGGTTTACAGTTAGCAGCAATGTACTTGCGTTATCACATAAATCATTTCTCTATAGGAGGATTCGCTGCCTTGTTTAAAACTGCAACATCAAAAACTCTCCAAAAGTGTAAAATGTGTGCAAGTAGACTCAAACACTCTTAATCCCCCCCTCACCATGCAGTTATTATCAATGGTTACCCAAGTGTTTTATGACATACCGCACGTCAGCATACATGGCAGATCAACAAGGAGTAGCGTAAACATGAGGGGGAGGCTATTCTTAAACTCTTGCACAAGGGGACCGTCACATGCTACAGATGGGGATGTTTGACAAAATTGGGCATTTGACGTGTGAAATAACTGCGTTATCAAGAGAGATTATCGGACGTAAATAGATTAACTTACTCAGAGTATTGTTCTGTAACCTGAACTAGCCTTCATAATGCCGACGTGCCATACTGCTGGACATGAAAATGTGTTATAAACAAGTCAAATTCAGTCCCTTACTTGACAACATGTTATTTCCCCTGGGTTGCATCACAGCTAAAACAGTTTTCAGCTGGTGAACCCTGTTGATTTTAATTCTAAATCATGCATATTTGATTCACTCCAGTTGGTCTACAGGGTATTTCTCTACTGTTTACCCAGAGCCAAATGCGTAAAGCATATAAATATAACTTAGAAGTGTTTCAGTCATCTTAAAAGCAAAATGAAATCTTACCTCGAAGAGCCTCCATAACCGGCAGGATATTCTCTGACCATTGGTAGGCTGCGATGGTTGTGTAGATGCCTGGAAAGTCTCGCTGCCAAATGTGTTGGCCAACGGCCCAAATAGATGTCAATTCTGGGTTTGCCTGTATGCAACAAATGGAAAAGGCATTAGTATGCTCCACTTGACAAGGCAGTGGTTGTCATGCTACAGTCAAGTGCAGTCACACCCAAATACTTCTGTTGTCATATGGTGCATATGCAAGATGAGGCAGCTGAGCATCTGACAAGGAGTTGTGATCAGCAATGTCTCCGTATGTTCTATCGTGCTCACCGATTTTATTGCTTGGGGGATCCGTTTCCAGAGATACCTGCCGTTATTCCTGTTGGAGCCACAGCAACAAGTTAGACCATGCACAGACTCAAGCTGCAGGCAGTAATGCTACAATAGAGTTAGCGGTGAGATAACGTAACACTCTTCAGCTACCTACTGCAGTTTGCCCAACACAGATCCATTCTTTTTTTATTTATTTGTAAAGCCGTATGTGCTCTTCATGTGCTACAAAAAGTCAGAGCACCGAAAGCTGTGGAGGAAAACGGGAATCCTAATGGTTTACCAAGTCTTTTTGACATTAAAGATGCTTTGTATTTCTATGAAGAACAAAAAATAGGCAAAATATGTGTATCAACAATTTGAAAGTAAATGAGTCCATGCCCCCACCCCTAATAAACAACCTGTGAAGAAAGAGAGAAACCCCCACCAGCTCCTGAAGACGGAGTTGACTTACATGTCATTATGCAGTAAATAGAGCGACAGCAGCTGAGCGTACACTTGAGGTGTTGCAATGCCCCCTGGAGCCTGTTAACGAGAAATGCAGGTATGATATTAAAGATCGACGCTACATATCAGCAAACAAGCTGTACACTGTAAACAATCCGTGATGTAAGCTATATGGCAAAGATGACTCCCTAACAGACATTAGCTACGTACCGTTAGCTTCAGACTGCACCATCACTTACCGTCCAGTCAGTTGTTATTACTTTGTGCTAACGTTGTAGCATTGGTCTCTGAACTTACAATGTTTCTAGCTAAATGTATCAAAGTAATTGGTCAGTCCCAAGTTACCTGACGCCACACAGTGAAACAAGCGAGGGCTTTTACGTTATGAGAACCTAAATAAAGCAGTGCTGCAGTATTAGCTCTAGTTTACCAACACAACAAAGTCTCGCTATCTGAGGCTAGCTACCGAGCTAACGTTACCTACTACCTGCTAGTAGCAGCGGTTAAAGCAGAGAGTATCGCTAAGTCTAACAGTTACTGTTCAATTTTGATTTATTATTTACATTATGAGCTAACTCGTAGCGTACGTTTTAATGCACCAGTGCCTGAAAGTATAATACGCGTTAAAGTAACGTTAGTGACAACAGACTAGCTTCTTAGCCATAACGTTAGCCAAAGCTGGTCATGAGCTAACGCTAATTGTCGTATCACTACTACCAAGCCTCTAAGAAAGCCTCGTTGGCACAACTCAGAATGAATTTTGCGATCCAGTGCTTACCTCGAGCTCTTGAGCTTCACACTGCTCTAATAATTTATCATAATTCTCCTCCATAATCACAGCAGTAGGCATGTTGATGCCGAGCTGCTGCATCGGGAACTTCTTCTGCTGTCGAACTGTAGTAGATTAGTAGCACGTCGGCGGTGCTGCTGCCCTCAGCTGGAGGAAACAAACCACACAATCCTCGTCACACATCTCCTCTAACAGCATTTCAAATCAATCCAGGACTCAATTATACCACAGTGCAACGCAACACAACTGCAGTGACATCCCATGAAAATTAAATGAAATTAAACAAGCAGACGTGGATGTCCACCAAATAAACAAATAGGAAAAAAAGGAGGAAAGGAAGAAAGACATGTAGGTAGAAGGAAAAAAGAAATCCTCCTACAGAAATTGATTTAGATGTTTTGTATAAAATAAAGCCTGCATTCATCAAATCTATTTATTGCACAATGCTTCCCTACCCGTTGGGTTTTTATTCTCCTTCTTTTTTCCCCTTTTTTAAATTCTTGATTCATTTATCGAGTTTTCAAACCCAAAATTTCACCTTGTTCCAGTGAGCATGTTTCAGTAGAGCAGAAAAAAACATCTGACTGGACGTAATCAAAACATTTCCATATAAAGAGTCTTTTAACTCCAAGGTCCTTGTTGATGGCACTAACTGTGCTTACTATAAACCCCACCACAACAGTGACAACCCTCCTTTTCTTTTACCACAAATATGAAAATCACCACAACTGCATTTTATCAAACCTCTCCAATCAAATCATACCCACAACGAGACTGATTAACCATGAGTCAAAATGAGAAAAAAAGATAGAAAGGAAATGATCTGGACCTTAAGTGAAAATCATGTTGTGGACTCCGAGAGGGTCCAGTCCCTGTCAGAGTAAACTGTAGATTTAGATTTATTTTTTGTCATTTCTAACCAGGGATTATTAAGAGAAAATGTTGTGTAGCTAATTGTTTTATTTGAATAAATTACAATTTTTGAAGAATTCAGTCTGGTCTCAGTGAACTCCACAGTGCTGAGACAGACCGCCTTTCTCCTTAAATTCTCTAATGATCCTCTTTGCCAGGGATTTCTGTATTCCAATCCTTTTTGATCTCCATTTCGTTTGATGCTGTTGACTGCATACATTTCTTCCTCCACTTCAGAAAAAATGTCTTGGGATCACAGGCAGAACTATAATGCACTTCCACTATTCTGCCGTTTGTTGTTGTTGTTGTTGTTGTTGTTGTTGTCGGAGGGTGCATTCATCTTTCCTGCTGTTCTTAAACTTTGGGTATAGACAGCTTTAGGAGCGAGATTTTCTATACATTTCTTCCGTTTTCTTGCGTTTTAAAGGAAGAAAATGTGGGAGTTTTATTTCACTTTTCAAAACTTTGAAGTCCGCTGCAGACTCACTTCAAACGTCTCTTCCAATTTTCTATTTTCTTTGTATTTAAAATATATTTAACCAGGAAATGCTTCATTGAGATGAAAAGTCTCCCTTAGAAGAGTCTCCTGGCCAAGACAGCAGCAGCCCATTAAACAAACCTTCAGACATACAACAATAATGTTCTGCTGTTTGAGACGTCTTTGATATTCACATGTCTTTTTACGACGCTTCAATTCAAAGACTTGTGCCACACTGTTTCCCCCAGGTCACAACTAAGATGTTTGTTTTTGTCTTTGATGGAGTCAGTGCACGCAGTCAGCCATTGTTTTGATTCACAATTTATTTAAACCCCAAGGGCAGCAATAGAAAAGATGTTCAATTAGAAAATGTTCTAACCAAATAAGATGAACAATAGATTTCCGCAGTCGGAGTAAAAGCAATACATACAAATTATTTGCAAGGTCCCAGTTAAAATGGCTTTAAATTCATCTTGTGTAACTGTATTATAATGCACATTATGTTACCAGCAGAATGCTTACTTTGTTGACTTGGTAATGTGGGAGTATCAAATATTTTCTAAGTTTTACAGCCTAATGTAGACATGCTGGCCAAACTGACGTGACCCCCATTACCTCATCTTTTTGTCCCAGATAGAGAAACAAACAATGACGAAGATTTCAAAAGGACACGAACAATTGTTGTTCACATTCACTCAACATTGCAGTCACTTTCCCAGGATGCTGTGAGGAAAAACGCTGGCTAATGCTCAAGTATTTCATCACCTAATATGAAAGTAACCTCGCTGATTTTCATGAGAAACGACACGTCGATAAGTGAGGACTAAACATCAGCAGACAGCGAATTGCCTTCAAGGTACATTCTCAACAGCTCAGAAGTAGAATAGCAATGTGTACATAATATATATATATATATATATATATATATATATATATATATATATACAGATAACATAAATTGTCACTTTATTGTACAAAAATATTAATAATTTAACTATAAGAACACGTTGATAATGAACCCAATACTCAGACTGAAGCATTGCAGCTATTTTAATCTTTCAAAGTGGCCACATAGTGAAGTATTGTGCTGTCAGATTTTCTTTCTGGGATCAGTTCCTCAGGCAGCCTTTTCATAAGCACCGCTTATTATATGAATTATGTATACATTAATAACCATTCTGCGTTAACAAAACAAACCGAGACCAAACAATACTTTGTCAGGGGCTCCTGATTCGTGCACCAACAGCTCATTGGTTGATTATTTAAGTCCAGAATTGTGCAAATTCAGGTATAACAAATCTCATTAAATGAAGTTTCAGTCTTCTCTTGGTCTCATATATATCATCCAAAGAACACTGCGTCCCTCTCCATGTCCATGTAGACTTTAGAACTACTGTACCGAATTAGTACTGTCAGTGATACACAGACATATGTAGTGTTTGACATGCAAAGATAAATAGCCTATAATTTATTTAGATTTAATTTAAAGGTATGTGTATTGTAGCGTATACGAATCAGAGCTCTAACATGACAACTCCAGATGCATGCTGGTCAGGTGTTAGATTGTGCATGTGTAAACCGAGAGTTCAGTCTCCACTCCTGCTGTGAAATGCAACCTGGGCCCTAAAATTCCAAGTAGTTCTCTCCAACCTTTCCTCAATCCAAATGACTGAAAACTACTGCCTGGCTATTTCCACGACAACAAAGCTTTGGCACTGCAAAGCTCCAATATTTAGACTTGAGGAACCTAAAGCTGACAGATTTAGGTTACAAGGCATCTTTGCAAACTGCTGGTATTTAGAATAAACCCTGGCCCCTCATGCATACACATGTTCTATCATAAATCCTCGCTGGTGAAGGAGGGACTCCATTGTAAATGAAATTGGAGAGTAGTGCATAATTCTGCAATGACTAAAATGACCACTTGTGAGCAGCATTGCTCAGTTTTGTGTTTTTCACAAGTTCCTAGATCTTCCTGCGTGTGAGAGATCTGACTGATGCCTCTTTAGGTTTACAATATGCAGCAATGAAGGCGCATGTTTTGGGACAAAATCTATTTCTGATCTGCTGCCATGTTATAAACCATTCAGATCTTTCAGTCTGGCTTGACATTTTCACATCTTGTCTTTTCCTTCTGTTATTTGTATTCTGCTTATTCAGTTTAATACATTTTTAGATAATTTTAATCTTTTTATTTTATCCTTTTTAAATCCTATTTATTTGGTTGTTTTCCTTCGGCACAGTGGACTCTTGCAAATGCCAGAATGAGCACTAAAAGGAGGCAGAGGAACCAGATTTTTACCTCAGGGTACCTGTCTCATGTACAGTACTAGTGTCAGGATATGACAAAACTTATTTTTATAAAATGTACCAGGTGCAGCTTTAAGTTTTCTTTTATATCTTGTCTTAATGACATTTTGTCTCATTTTGAAATGCCTTGATGTTGAAAGGTGCTGAATATATTGAATATCTTCCAATATTGTCTGCTATATTGACAATAAAGCAATTGAGTCCTATGTTTCCTTATCCGTCCTTTCTTTGAAAAATGTCAGCTGTCTAAAAGATGGACCTGTCCATGTACGACAAACCCAGACAATTGTTATCCAAGTCACCACCTTGATGCTCTTGTCACATCCTCAATAATTCAAGCACCTCGAGTCCCTGTTGTGATATAGGCTAATGGAGATCAGAGGAATGCAAAATAGTGGTGTAACAATTGAAAAACCCTGAAACAGAATCCCGATAGACGCATGAATGAATCAAACATTACCACAAGAAAAAACGTCTTCCGTCTCTGAAGAGTGAGTTTTCAAAATGGCAAACTAGTCACGGCCAGCTGCTGAAAATATGTTTACAATAGATGGGCTAATCATAATTTTATGAACAGCCTTTCATGGGAGACAGCCTTGGATGTGCGGATGTTTGGTTTAAGTGCTGCTCTCAAGGTAGAGATGACAGAATAGAGTCATTGGTAAATAATAATAACAAAGAACATTTCTGATACAGAGATTTTATTTACTCAGCTTCTTTGCTGTAAATGTAAATGTGTGTAGCTTTGTGAATAAACCTCAGTGTGCGGGATCAATGGAATTGGTTATGACTCTAGGTGTTCCCAATTCTTTACATAAAATGCTCCTCTCCAGTCTCTCCCCACTGGGAGATTAGAGCACAGTTCACTTTACATCTGTGTGCTTCAGAGAGGAAGAATGAGAGAAAATGAGCCTTATATTCTCAAAGCTGTTCGTTAACAACCAACCAAACTTTCAAATGTGAAGAGCAGTTTAAAAAGAGAGAGGTGCCTAACATAGAAGTTACCCCTGTTGATTTTCATGAGAAAAGACACTGAGGCACTAAATAAGAAATAATGTTGCGTGAGCGACCCCGTGTCTGTGTCTGGGTTAATTCCGCTGGTTGTACATTTGTCCGCTTATTACACAGCTACTAACTAAAGAGAGCAATTATTTGACACAAAACATTGACTCAAATGATTTTTGATGATGTATAGATCCCAAATTTATTTTATTGCGCCTCTGTTGTGGATAGTTGAGTCAAACAAACATAGTCGTTCGTCACATTAGTCGTTAGTCAAGTTACCATCAACTTAAACACTCTTATCCCTGTTTAGTTGCCTAAACCGTACCTCCTATGAAGAAGGAAGTTCATTTTGAGAAGGTACTATGCATGTAACGAGTGTCAGGTTGCTCTCATCTAGCATTCGTA